ATATCTTAATCCGTATTTCGACTTTGTGGACGCATAAAGGGCTCCAAGCGATTCACTAAGTAGCGGAAGAGGTCTTTAGATAGCCGAAACATTTTCACAAATTGCACTTCATTTAACTCTTCTATAGGTTTGCGAGGATTATGGTGTCTATTCGGACGGTAATTGGCCTCGGCATTCTCCAAATTTTCAATGACAAAAACATTCATACCTGCATCCATTGTAATCAAAACAGTTTAGATCTTAACACATAACCAACAAAATGACGTTGCGAGCACTTGCGTTCATCTTTTTCCCGCTCGCAGTAAAACGAACACAATTGCAAGTATACGCAACATAAACGTATAGCCAAAAATTACATATAAACGTTTCTTTACACATACGTATATGTTTTATGGAAACGTATAGCCAAAAATCGACCCCCAGGCGGTACGTCGACAAGAGCAATTCACGACAGCGTGGCGACTTCCCGACGCCGTGGCGAAGGTAAAGAAAACACTCACAGATTTAAAAACTAGTGCCAATAGAAGAATAAATTGTGACCAGTTTACAACCTCATACCATCCTTGTTGTAATGGTCTCACTGAAAGGCTGAATAAGACAATAGCTGACATGTTATCCATGTATTGTAACACACAGCAAACGGACTGGTGTAGCTATCTACCATTTATACCATTTGCGTATAATACAGCAATACAGGACACAACGAGATTTAGCCCATTTATGTTAACATATGCAAGAGCACCCACACTACCAGCAGAAGCTGCATTGTTGTACGCTGACAACGAAACGGACTCTCTGCCAATTAGAGAAAAAGCACTCTTAATAAGAGCCATAGCAATATACGAAAAAGACAAGGAAAAGATAAAGGACGTTTTGACGAACGACATAGAGAATTAGATATCGTAGTTGGAGACAAAGTTGAGGTGTTCAAACCAATTAGAAAGGTTGGAAGAAGCGAAAAATTACTCTTAAGAAAAGAACAAGAATCGGAAACATTCTTATCGACGGAAGAAGCCGCCGAAGGGATTTTAGAAAAGTACGAGCTGCAAAAAAGAAGGCATATGGGTATACAAAAAACAAATTGAACTAAACTCACCTGTTGGAGCCATGATCAACAAATAACCAAATGATGAAATTTGATGGGCCAAATGTGGGTCATAATTAAGCTATGTAATTATAGGAATAAGCACATTTTTAAAAATATTATTTTATTTTTTTGCATGTATATACGAAACTACCAACCAGGGACGGACTACAAAACAAATTCGAGGAAAGGCATTGTAAGAGAGAGAGAAGGACCTAGCTCTGGACTGAGCAGGGGCTAGGAACTTCAAACCAGAAGAAACAAATGGGTATGGACCAATGAACAAGAAAGAAGCATAACAAACCAGGAAACGACCCTTAGACCGTGGGACCGTACACCCCACGATCTAGCTGACCTACCAAGAAGTATTTGGAACCAGAACAGACCCACAATACCGAAAGGACCGGACCAAAAGAAAAACCTATGGCTATTTTTTTTTTTTTTTGTAACCTGAATAATAATGCACCCTCACCCATCCTACCATAATAGTTATTTATATATCAAGGGAATTATGAGGGTGTTAATACCCTAGGGCAAAGTTTGTGTTGTGACACCAATTGCCCGTGGGTATTAACATCTGATAATTCCCGTGGTACATAGATAATTTTATTTCCTACTGAATTTACTGCATTTTGTCCATTTTTATGAAGAAATAAACCATAAACCAAAATTTCTATTTTTTGTCAAAGTTTCACCTATTCAAGGTAAAAGAGGTAGTTATAGAAATTCTTAACTCCCTTGGGAGTTATGATATCCTTAACTCCCGCGCGGGAGTTATGGAATCCTTAACTCCCTCGGGAGTTAAGACCCTGTTTATGATTATCGTAACCACGGTATTATATGGTTATAATAGTTCAGTAGGAAATAAAAAACTTTTGTTAATTTTAATTTTAAATTTTTTTTCTCTATACGCGATATTTGGATTATTATAATTGTTAAGCATCAGGGATATTTTATAATTAGGCTATTATTGTAAAGAAGGGATATTTTTAGGATTAGGATATTATTGTATTTTTTGACATTATTATCAGGTTATATAAAAATATAGATATATATTTTCCCAAATATGCCCTTACATGTACGCTAATCCTATAAGATGCATGACCCTTCGAAGACTGGGGTCCTTATAGGGAGCCACGCTGCTTGGAGGACTGTAGATTAGTTATCGTCACCCTTAATGCCTTGTCCAGAGGGGCTTTCCCAATGAGAGGTAATTGCACTGGACAACGATAAGGCTGAAGATACCCAGAGGGGCTTTCCCAACGAGAGGTACTTGCACTGAGGATACTTAATTCCAGAGGGGTACTTGCATTGGTTTAAGTCTGCCTTTGCTGCGGCTTGCAGCACAATTTATATCCGTTTATTGCTGAATTGCAATAAACATCCGACCGAATCGGCAATTAAATTAATAAGGTTGAATACCGGGTCCTCCTTTCCTAAGCAGCTAGTTGACAATATATTTCCGTTGCACGAGTTGTATTTTATGAGAGGATTTCATGAATCAAAAATTTAATTTTTTTGTCAAAAAATATCAAAACACCAATTACTGTGCAATTATCATGATAATTTGCACTAGTGCGTAAACATAACCTGATTAGTTCAAATCAACAATCAAAACTTGTCAGTTTATTGTTGGTATGTCAGTTTTGACAGATGTATAAAATTCTCAATAGTAAATTGAGAATTTCATACATCTGTCGAAACTGACATTTAAGGGATTCAGTCTTTGGGCAATTGAAGAAAACTCTTTTCGACAAGCTTGGCCGAGCTTTCAGAAACGATTATTTCTTTTTTCAAGGCTATTGAAAGAATAAATATTACATACAATATTTAAAAAAAAAATAAGTTTGCATTTTTTTGTTAAAACATAAAAGAATAAATTTCTTTGAAGCTTCTGGCAGTTGTGAAAATTATGGCTTTTTCAAAATTAGGTTTACCTATTTTTAAATTTCGAAATGCAACTTGAGTTCTGTATTTCCTTATTTTTGTTCAATTTATCAGGATATATCAAGAATCTACTCATACCTACTGTATAAACACCAACTGAACGTACTTTAATAAACGTTTCTTATCAAAAAGTTTATGCTTTCTTTTTTAAGCAACCAAGCAACACCTACCCCTCAACCCCCCACCCCATCATGGACCTGAATGCCTCTTGCTATCAAACTATGCTTTTCATGACGTGTTGTTTTATAGATCCTTATCGATAATTGAAATATTAGAATTAACGCAAAGTGACAAGAAGCAAAAATAAAAACTCGTTTCGGTGTTTTGTAGACGTCTTTTTCGCCACTAAACACCTCGCGCTCTTCAAATACCTAGCGCGCGGCGCGCGTACCGGAAACTTTAAATGAGGCAACCACATCTTTTAGGCAGGATTTGAGCAGGCAACCTTAGTTTAATGGAAAGAGGAGATCGAGACCTTCAATTTGAGACCTAATTTATGCGTCCACCTGATTACGATAGTTATTGATAAAAAACCGACCTTCTTAGCCAGGCTGCCAGGGTGTTGCGGCAGGGTGGGGGCAGGCAACCTTATATGGTTGAATTCGTCTCACGCTCCCCTACAACATGGTGATTTCATTTCATGTCCACCTCTAAAAGATAGTCACTGTAATTATTTATCTAATAAAAAAAATTGAAAAACACTGCTTCGGCAGGATTTTCGCAGGCAACCTTCGCGTATTCTCTTAATTAGTGCCTCAACTTATATTAATAATTTTTTCGTTCATCCACCTTATGACGACAGATTCTCCGCAGCCGTCTCTGGGACTAACAGTTGTGGGATTTTGGCTAAATTTTTAAAATCCATGGTTAGAAACAAATATTGAATGTCAGAAACGTAAAATGTTGCATACTTTTCACTTTTTTCGAATGGGATTCTCTATATTTGATTCTTGTAGAGCACAATTTTCCGGTGACAAAAATATATGAACTGCCTATGTAAAACTCTGATTTGGTTGTGCGTGAAAATAATATCCTACTGACTTGGATTTCGTGATTCATTTTACCTGCAAAGGTGAAAGCTGCAGGTAAAATTTTAGGCACTATAGTTAAACCAAATCCAAGCGGCAGTAATGACATTGATTGGTCATTTTCATTGCAACCTATCAAATGTCCTCCGTGCATGCGCACTGGTCCAGGTAGAGCGTTTCAACCAATAGGAAGGCTGCTGTTTGTTTACAATTCAGGTTATTTAATGTCATTACCTGCCGCTTGGATTTGGAAATGGTGTAGGTTTTTCTGATAGTATTTGTGAAATTTTTAGAGCCAAGTATCTTGGAGACGGGACAACTAAATAATATAGACTAGCTATACCTATATTTTTGGAATCTGAAAAATGTGCTCTTCAAATACAGGACATTACATTTTAAAAAAGTTATAAGTAAGTAGGTACGCAAAATTTCAAATTTCTGACAATAATTTTTTTGTTTCTGACGATCTGACTCTAAAAATGTAGATAAAACTGCATAACTTTTGTATTTATACCTTTCTTCTACCTGTAAAGGTGAAGGCTCAAGTGGGATGTCAAATGACACTCTGTACCTACCTTATTATTAAAAAAAAATACTTACCGTCATAAGGCTTTTTCGTATAAACTCCATCTTGCTGATTAACTAAAAGTTCATAAGCGAAATTAATAAAAATATATTTAGGCACTTTAGGGATTAAAAGTACCCTTTTAAACCCTGTTTTAAGCGAGCAAAATGGGCCTTTTGATTAAATTTCACTCTAATTCCCAAGGGATTCAATTTTTAGTTTATTTCCCGGGGATTAAATGAAACAGGAATTAGAAGTACCACTTCAGTTCCTATGTGTATAATGTACTATTATTAAGGCCGATATCATTTAAAAATATCCTGACTAGACTTATTGATAGTTATGCTCAAGAATATATTAATCAAGAAGAATTCTATTACGTTTTCGAGCACTTACTTATATATTTTGGACGGACAACTATGCAATCCGGATCAACTAAAAAAAAAAAAACAATAAAAGCAATGTTAACATACACTGAAATGAAACTTACATGCATCGGTATTAGATTCCTCAGATGCATCGGTAATAGAGTTATCATCCAATTCTTCATCGTTCCCAGAGTTTAACTCACCTTGTACGGTGGCACAAACTACTGCAGCAATTATTGCAACAGAAACAAAATACTTCATTTTGTGATCTGCATGAGAAACATTGTTCAATATAAAAGCATAAGGTATATTTCTTATTATTAGTAGGTAGCCTTAAAATTAATTGATGATAATAAAACTTGCATTATTTAATTAAAATTTCCCAATTTTGATTTATCAGTGAAATACAACTGATTGTTATTAAAATTTTATTATGTAATTAAAAGTTTCATAATCTCATTTAAAACAAGTAATAGAATTGAAAGGTTGGAAAATGTAATGTATAAAGAAAGGAGTAATATCTGGCGAACCTTTTTTCCTTTTGAGATTTTTGATTACATGGATGATCTAGCAGCTCTAGCAAAAACAGCAGCCCAATGCATTGATTTCGATGAACCTCGCATCTTTTTAAATATTAACGTGTTGGGTGAACTTATAGTTAGAAATTTCTGACATGTGTTCAATCCTCTTAAGCATGATGACAATATAACATGAACTTCCATGTCTCGTTCCCGAATCTGCAAAAGATGTCACAAAAAGTTAAATTCCCTTAAAATGAAAATCAATCAGAAAAGGATCGATAATGACGCCTATCATTATGGAGAGTGCAATTACGAACAGACTGCAAACCATGACAGTAGAAAAGCGGAGATGATGTTATTTACGGTGGATTCCAGGTCCCAGTAATTTTTTTTTTATCATAGAAGCTGCGTCCCGTCCCGTGTTCCTATCCAGGAAACTAGAGTCTAGATATCAGATCTTGGAGCAAGAAAATCCGAAATAGCGAAATGAGATAAAGCTAGCTGTATCAGTATACTAGTTATTTATACACCAAGTGAGTTAAATGAATTTTTATTCATGAGAAGAAAGTTTAATCCACGAGCCCTAGCGAGTGGGTTAATTTTTTTCGAATAAATAAACATTTTAACTCACGTGATGTATACAAAATTTTATCCCATTTTGTGAAAATTTTGAAAATAAAGTAGAAGAAAAAATGCCGGGAGTGAGTTAAAAATATTTTAAATCACTGCGAGGTCTCAGATTTTTAGTTGGGCAGAGTGACTTAAAATGCCGAGAGTGAGTTAAATTTTTTTTAAATCACTGAGGTGATAAACGTCTACTTACCTTTATTGTTACGCGTTCAATAAAGTCATTTTTAAACGTCAAAATGGGATAAATGAATTTAATACGATCTATTAAAGAATTTTTCTCCAACATACATTGTAACATTGCAAGTGTCACTTGTTTTTTTTTTATATAAATAATTTCTACATTTTATAATTTTATATAATTATTCAGCCATATGGCGGCATCTATTGCCGATTGAATGTATTATTTTATCAGCGAACTCGAGGGTAGGCATTTTCTTTTGTACTACCTAGATCTACTCGTCCCTAGTAATTCGTTGCTTTTTAAACTCGTTAATAGTTTTCGAACGTAGTACTTTTCACATAGCTGAGGGTTGACAGGTTAATAGGTCGTCCTTCAAAAATGTCAAGTGAAATCTATTTATTCTGGAAGAGAAAATTCATGGGCCCTTTTCTAATCTTGCTGTTACCCCAAAAACGTCGAGTGTGGCTGGGCTGGGGGCAGCCATCTTCCTCAAGTGAAATTATCGTGCCGTGAAAAAATAAAGTACCTTATCGGCCTTCAGGCATTACCCTATCTCAATAAAATTAACTTGCGTGAGGCAATAATCTGTTTATTGCAAAAAAATTTGAATCAAAAAATCTTGCGATCACCATTTAATTTAAGTTTGAATTTCAATCCACCTCGTGGGTTCTACCGTAGGCCTATTTCTACCGTGGGCCTATTTTTACCGGGACCTGTATTTTCCGAGAAGCTGTTTTTCTCAAGGAATCCATTTTCAACAAGACCCATTTCTGGGCATAGAGCTCTTGAGTCCTTCAAGTGTCGATTCCTGTACCTCTACCTTTGACGAAAAAAACTGAACTTCCCGCTTCTATCTTCCAGGCTAGAATCTACGACTTTTACTGCAACTCCCCTCATCCAGTAACCAAAGACTGGATGGCTACCGACTACCGTAATCTACCTTTTTGTTGGAATTGAGGTTCGTTAATAACTTTTATATCTTTTTCTTCTTAATTCTGTTCTATAGTCAATTAACATAATTAATTGATTAAATTTTGACCAATATTACCTTTAAATTTTTAAAATTTCACATTTTAGTGAACTTTGAATATTTGTTCTCGATTTTTGATTTGCCGTACTAACTATACATTTTTTTTACTTAACTTTTAGTACCGTTATATGTAAATATTCTCTTACATTTTATCATTTTTTATTAATCCTAATCATTAATATGAACTGAGGTCAAGGTTGGACAACATGCTCTAAATTTAAACTTATTGAGTAAGTACCTACCTATAACGTCAAAAATTGATCAATTTTTAACCCTGGGTCCTACGACTTATATATTTGAGGATTTATATTACTTCTACTGCCGCTGCGGTTGCCTAGCAGCATAGAAATTAAATTTCTACCACCTCGACAGGTGTTAACCCGCTGGATTTGTCTAGCAGCATAGAAATTAAGTTTCTGACATCTTGACAGGTGTTAACAAAGTGAAGTTTTTTTGACATTTGGAGAAAAAATAATATTTGTCTGTTATCAGGGCGACGACGAAAGGATGTTAAATCTGAAATTGAGACAAGAGGATTTTTATTACATTAAACAAGATTGCACACGGAAAAGTTAGAACTTGATATGGGGCACAATGCTAAAATTAAGGCACCAAGAATAATGATGATGATGTCATCGAAAATAAGGCCTCGAGGCACGTTGTCTATTTGTGGCCAGATCTAGGCTAGAAAATGGGGGTTAACTTAATAATGGCGGGGCCCAGTATGACGTATCTTGTATGGGGCAACGGCAACAATTCACGAGAAACGAGGTACCAAATTTTAGGTAATGAGTTCTAGGTCACGCTAATGATAGAGTGGTGTTCAGAACTTGGAGCCCGTATTGGTTTCATAACCTTGTTGCATGGTTACAAGTCACGAGGTACGAGATACCTAAAATTAGGCCCTTGATTGAAACGGGGTCCCTAATATTCGTCATTCACCCGCCAAACTTAAAATGGGGCCTACGGGGTAAAAGTCCGGTGACACTGGTCATATTTGTTCTCGATTTTTGATTTGCCGTACTTACTATAGATTTTTTTTACTTAACTTCTAGTACCGTTATATTTGAATATTGCCTTACATTTTATCAGTTTTTATTAATCCCAATCGTTAATCTGAACTGAGGTCAAGGTTGGACAACATGCTCTAAATTCAAACTTATCGAGTAAGTACACCTATACGTCAAAAATTGATCAATTTTTAACCCCGGGTCCTACGACTTATATATTTGAGGATTTATATTAAATCTCGAGACCATTTAACCATTATTTAGCCCAACTTTCGATTTATTTCAGGTACAAATTGATTTTATCGTTTTTTTTTTTTTGCAGAAGCTGGCCATATTTGTCAATAGAATTTTCAATCATTTTTTTTTAAAGAGTTTTCTGGAAACTTAAATCTTTATATTTTCTTTTCAAATTGATGATATGGCCAGCGACTGTTAATTGGCTTATAAGGCAAGTATATTGAGGTGCATTTGTTATTATACTATTTTTTTTTTGAGCTTGACGAATGTAATTAAAAGGTATTTTCTTTTATTTTGATTCGGTCTAAGGTGACTTACCAACAATAATTGATTTTATATTTTGGAATAATTCAATGCTGAATTTTTTACTGACTGTGAAAATATATGCTATTTTAATTTGAAGTTTTACTTAATTATTTTATTGGTTTACCTATACGTCAAGATTTGAGTTGTGTGCATTTTTTATTTCTTTTTCAGAATTACCAATTACCGGTTGTTGATTATTTTCTAGGTGTGTTTCTGAATTTTCACCTTTCTATATTTTAAGCAATTTTATTATTATTATTATTTTTTCAAATTCAGTGGCGCCCTTGCCATTCTGTACTGATTAAACTATCAACCCACACCTAATAATTTTTCGCTGAGCGAACCGAGCATATTATGGGGCTCTTGTTAATTCATTAACAAAAGAGGTTACAACATATATTCATAATGAAAATTATACATGAGAGTTCTGGATATATCTAATATCTTCTTATCAATGTAGAGAGGTTTATTGAAAATTAAATTTGTTTTATTCATTTCGATGGCTACTAAATTTCCATCGAAAATCGCTCTGCTATGAAATAATGTACTTGCCAAAAGATTACTTTTTAATTAGTTTAACGATTCTATTTCCTGTTTCATCAAAAACCGCGTTGTTCAATAATTTGAATAATGAAATTGGTAATGGTCTGTAGGTGGCGTAGATTCGTATTATTCAAGTTAATCAGTTAATGTAAAATTTGAGCCAAGGTGCTTTGTCGGAACGAAATAATTCTATGCAATGTTTCAATCTTTATTCCCTTTCTAAGGCCTGCTTCGAATTCCGATAATGTAAGACACTACTTATTTTAATCTGAGAGATTATTTAATAGTTTTGAATTTCTTGAATTTGAGGATATTTTATGTTCAGCACAGAAAGGCAATTCGTGTGATCCTCTATATCAGCCTCTACTACACATTAGCCGATGGAAAAATCATCATTTATAGTGGTGACATCAAAAGTTTCACTGTCTTCGAACCACTCAAAATCACAGTATGGTAAATATTAAGACATTGCGCAACTAAACAAACTGTTGGCATCTAGGTACATCGAATATTTTGATGGAACAATGGGATTTTACTCGGGTATATATTTATTGTTGGCCTCGAAATATTGGTTTGAGCACATTGAATTTTTGCCCCTTAATGCGCATTCTACAAATAAAATCTGATCTATATCTTTCACTAGTTTTAAATTGAATTTCGTGTATTTCAAGATGTAATCCCATAGGTAGAAGGAGAACCTTTTCATCAAGAGAACATCGGTTTTCAGATATAAGTCTAAATATTGACCTAAATTATAATTTTTTCCAAATTTGCTCCAGATAGTTCAAGCATGTACATATTTTAATGTACGACCTACACTGTAAGAGCTTATAATGTAACTCATTTTAGCCTGTTTTAGTTACGTAATAAGTTG